GAAGGCCACGAGGTCCTCTCCTAGACAAGACACCCAGTCGCTCTCCTGCCCGCCCCGGTATCCCACGCCCCCCGCCATCGCTCCAACAGCATCCGCTTGGGGAGGCGGTTGTCCTCCATGCGAATAACAAAGCCTGCGAAAAACAGTCTCCGTTTGCGCACGGTGGCCTCGATGGTTTCCTCGCAGCCTGCCTGGATGAGGGCCTGGGCATAGGACAGGTGGCGGTCTGAGCGTTTCCGCTTGCTCCAGCCGATGTACCGTGTAAGGAACTGGCGGTGGGTCCCATTGAGCTTCGTGTAGTGCTCCGCTGTTAGGCTCCACGAGGCGCACCCATACAGGAGAGTCTCCACCACTTCAGCCTGGAGAAGCCGGATCTTGAGCTGGCGGTCGGCCCGTCGCCTGTCGTACATCGAAGCACTGTTCCGGCGGTAGCACTTCCACGCTCGGCAGCTGCGGCTCGTGATCTCCCGGTCGGCCTTCCCGTCCGCGGAGATGGTACGTCCGAGGTACACAAACCGATCTGTCTGCTTGTACGTCTGGCCGGCGGCGCTGACCGTGAACGGGCGTTCCTCGATCCCTTTCGGCAGCATGCACATGATCTCCGTCTTTGGCTCCGATATCATCAGTCCGAACAGGCCGGCCACGCGCACGATGACCGGCATATGTCTTCTCGAGATTTTCCGGCGAGCGCGTGACGATGGCCGCGTCGTCAGCGTAGAGTATGGCCCCCAAGGCCTCCACGTCCGTCACCACCGTCGTCTTCTTCCCTGCCGACCTGCCCTTCTTGCCCGTGTGCTCCACTTGTGTCCCGATCTTGACCATGTCCGCAGTCACCTTGGCGTCCTTGTCGAACTCGGCCACGGCGACCATGAGCATCGCGGCAAAGAACAAGTTGAACAGCAGCGGGGTCAGGTTGCATCCCTGTCGGAGGCCTTGGCCCACGTCGAACCATTCCGACTACTGCCCGTCGTCCGTTCGGACGCGCGCCCTCGTGCCCTCGTGGAAGTGGCGAATGACCGTCAGCATCTTCGGGGGCACGCCGAAGCGTCGGAGCACGTCCCACAGTAGGTCTCCGTCCACCGAATGGCATGCTTTGGTGAGGTCGACGAAGCACGCGAACACTGCAGTACTGGTGTGGCGAGCCAGCTTGATGTTCCGGTTGGTATTTATTTTTATTTTGCCATAGGTCGGAGAGAATTCGGAATACTTACCCCCACTTCCATAATCCGGCGACGGAAAACTGGAGCATTGACCAATCAGTGACATACAACTTATCTGACAAGGGCCACCCTGAACGGACAAAAGGGCCGTCTTTTGTCTTACAGCAGCTGCTGTTATTTCGTTTTTTTGCTTCGTTCAAAGTTTCCAACAAATTTCCAACTTTACAAATCCATAGAACAGTGGACCTCGATTTGCGGCCGAGGGAAAACAAACGACATTTTAACTTCATGGACTACTGCACCCAGAGGTTGTTCCAACATTGTCCGAAAATTTTGGAAATAAATGTGCAGTAGTAGTAGGTCGGAATTGCAAATTTGGAAACAAAATTGGAAGCAAAAATGGCTGTGAAACTTTGAAAAGGCTGCACCCGAAGCGTGCGAGTCTACATCAAAGTACGCTTACCCTATCATTGAGGGTTCCGAATGGGTATGGTCAGACATCATTCTTGCCTTTCTTTCCGTGAGGAGACCGAACAT